GAACAGTGGTTCTTCCAGTTCATTGTCAGACGCATCAGATGGTCTGACTGAGGCCTTTGCGCTCTTGTAGTCTGCAGTGTCATCACTGTCGCTGACACCAGCAGCAGCGCCGCCCACTGAGCTGGAATCCGAAATCTGATCATCATCATCATCATCATCCTCAGCTTCCTCAGCTTCCTCAACATTATCTGCTTTCTTCACATCACCTTCATCCTCCTCTGGATAACTCTGGAAAATTCCCACATTTTCCCCTCACTTAGGATTGTACTCAACACGTTTTGTGAACTTAATGGACTTAGAGTCAGTCATCCATACCCTGTATGCATTTCTGGGCCCATAACCTGTTGTTGGGATACTGCCAGGGAGACAAAGTCCATCATGGCCCCCAAGCCGTGTCCGGACGTCCGTCGATCTCCCGTAGGCACACAGTATCAGCAATTAGCGACATGAGCTCCAGAAATAGCCTGCCACATTCCAGAACTCAATGCACGCTCTGTGAGCAGATAATGCACAGCAAAAGTCGCACTCAGGAGAGCATTATTTACAAGTTTTATTCAGCGTTGATCAGAACAAAGAAAAACATGACTGCCTGCTTCAGTGTCTCCAGACACACAGAGAGAAACGAAAGCAATAGAATACATGAACTTCCTGTGAACAGGAAATGCGCAGACTCTGTGACTCACAAAGCCTGCTCCCTTTTAAGGTGGAACGGAAATATCCTAACAGATAGTGCTCCGGCAGGAAAGTAAACAGCATTTCTGTGCACTCTGGCACTCATCACAGTCCTCCGTGCACCAGAAGTGGCTTAGCCATGCTGGCCACACGACCCTGAAAGCTGTCTGTGGACAAACGCCGGCTCCCTCAGCCTGTAAGTGAGATAGTAGTAGTAGTAGTAGTAGTAATAATAATAATAATAATAATAATAATAATAATAATAATAATAAATTATTTATATCCTGCCCATCTGGCTGGGCTTCCCCAGCCACTCTGGGTGGCCTCCAACAAAGTACCAAAATACAGTGATCTGTTAAACATTAAAAGCTTCCCGAAACAGGGCTGCCTTCAGATGTCTTCTAAAAGTCTGGTAGTTGTTCTTCTCTTTGACATCTGATGGGAGGGCATTCCACAGGATGGGTGCCACTACCAAGAAGGCCTTCTGCCTGGTTCCCTTTAACCTGGCTTCTCACAGTGAGGGAACCGCTAGAAGGCCCTCGGCACTGGACCTCAGTGGGTGGCAGGACAATGTGGGTGGAGATGAGCGCCACAACCCCATAGTCGCCTTTGACTGGACTTAACCGTCCAGGGGTCCTTTATCTTTCCCTTTTACCTATTCAGAAGCATTGCTGTCTCCAACTGTGGAGGCAGAGCATGCAGGAATCTGTCTAATCCTTTTATTTTTTGAGTCATCCATCATGGCCTCCTTGGTCAATGAGTGCTGTTGAGCCATGCTTTGTAAACCTTTACGAACTGTATCCTGGTGCTAAATGTGAAGCCAGCCTGCAAGTCTTTCCCCAGCCCTGCCTGGAGATGCCACGCATGGGACCTGGCACCATTCCAAGCAAATCACGAGCTCTACCCTTGAGCTACGACCTTGCCACTGGGGATAATGCTGGGTGTGACAGAAAAAGCTCTCAGCCTATTACCTCCTCTCTCTGTTGGGTGAAGCAACCATGAATCAATATTGGCAAGGTGCTCCCTGAAGCCAGCACACCCTGCCCATGGCATGTGATCCTGAAGGGTTCACGAAAGGGTAAAGTCAGAATATCAGGCCAAGGTTTTGTGTCCCCCTCCCCTGAAAAATTGGCAGGTGAGATGTGCTTGTTCTCACATCTCCATACTTTGGAACCCAGTTCCTCCATAGCTTGTAAAAGTTATCAAGAAATGCCAGAGTAGCAGTAAAATGTGGATATGCCATATTTTCTTACTCCCGTGCAAACGTCTAAGGGCAGAGCAGATGCCTTTCAAAGTCCATCGATGATTCAGTACATCAGCTCTTGTCAACATGTTTGTGTAAGCCCAGAGGCCAGCCAAGTTCATGTCCAGAGAGAGAACTTCTGCTCTCTCTTGCGCAAGCATAGAGGAGCTCCAAGGGCACAAATATATGTTGCAGACAGTTTACAACACAGGTTCCAATCAGAGCTATTTCCTTTTTTTTTTTTTTTACTGATAAATTTTTATTGGTATTATACATATATACATATAAACTTATACAAAGTCCAATACTTAAATTACACATAATATATTCATTCCATAAATCATAAATACATTTATTTTAGGCTCTGCCAAGCCTTGAACTTCCTTCCACTCCTTTGGTAAGTATCAAATAGACTTTATATTCACGTATTTTATCTCTTTTACATAATAACCTTTTACTGTTAGAGTTATTCCAATCCCGCCAGTGTCGTTTAAAGTTTAGTCCCAATATATATCCAATATTTAATCCAATTATCATGAAATTTCTGTTCATCTTGATCTCTTATTCTTCCTGTTATTCTAGCGAGCTCGGCATAATTTGTTAATTTAATCTGCCAATCACTTATATTAGGTATGGCGTCCGTTTTCCAATTTTGTGCTAACATGATTCTTGCGGCTGTTGTGGCATATAAAAATAGTACCTTATCTTCTTTTTTGATTTCTTTACCTGTCATTCCTAGCAGAAAGGCTTCGGGTTTTTTGGGAAACGTGTATTTAAAATTTTTTTTAAGCTCGTTATAAATCGATTCCCAAAAGCCTTTCACTTTGCTGCATAACCACCACATATGGTAGAAGTCACCATCTACTTCTCCACATTTCCAACATCTTTTGTTCTTTAACCTATAGATCTTAGCCAGTTTCACTGGTGTGAGGTACCACCTAAATATCATTTCCCACATATTTTCCCTTAATGCCATACATGCCGTGAACTTCATGTTAGTATTCCATAATTCTAGCCATCTCTCAAAATCGATGTTATAGCCGATGTCTATTGCCCACTTAGTCATAACCTCCTTCACCTCCTCGTCTTTTGTATACCACTCCAATAAAATATCGTATATTCTAGACAGTATTTTGTTCTTTCCTTCAACAACTTCCACATTGAATTTGGATTTTTTATCTTCAAATCCTATTTTCTTTTTATCTTCTTTTAACAGGTCATTTACCTGGTGGTATTGCAACCACCCAGTAAATGAGTTTTTAATCTCTTCATAGGGTCTAAGTTTTATACCTTGATCCGTTTTCCTAGTCAGTTCTTCATAGGTAGGATTCTTCCCTTCCATATTAACTTTTTGACCGTTAACACCTCTGTTGGTGAGATCCACCAGGGTGTCTTCCTTTCCAATAGGTTTTTATTTCTTTCCCATACTTGGAATATTGGCCCTCTAAAAATATGGTTTAAAAGCCTCTATGTACTTTCACCTTTTCATACCACAGGTACGAGTGCCACCCGTACCTGTTATCGAAGCCTTCAAGATCCAAGATGTCTCTGTTTTCTAGCGTTATCCAGTCTTTCAACCACGATAAACACGCCGCCTCATAGTATAAACATAAGTCCGGAAGGGAGAAACCCCCTCTTTCTTTTTTATCTACCAGTATTTTCATTTTTATTCGCGGTCTTTTCCCTGCCAGATGTATCTCGCCAAGGCTCTTTGCCATTCTTTACATTGCTTTAAACCTTTAAGTACCGGGATGGTTTGAAATAAAAATAACATTCTAGGCAAAACGTTCATTTTAATAACCGCTATCCTCCCCAAAAAAGATAATCTCATTCTCTCCCAGATTTCTAAGTCTTTCTTAATGTTCTTCCAGGTGACCTCATAGTTATCCTTATATAGATTGATGTTCTTAGCCGTAATCCAGACTCCAAGGTACTTCACCTTCTTTGCCGTCATAATTCCGGTTTTTTGTTCTAGGTCTACTATATCTTCTTTAGATACATTTTTAGTCAGTATTTTAGTCTTATTCTTATTGACCTTAAAGCCTGCCACAGCGCCAAACTCTTCAATTTTTTGTAGGGCTTCTTTTACACTGTGCTTTGGATCTTCTAATGTTAGAGCAATGTCATCCGCAAAAGCTTTAATTTTGTGTTCCTTAGTTCCTACCCTGACTCCTTTAACCTCTGCTGTATCCCTCAGCCTCATAGTAAGTACTTCCACTACTAAGATAAATAATAGGGGGGACAGAGGGCAGCCTTGCCTCGTCTCTTTAGAAATATCAAAAAAATCTGATGTAGTATTATTTATTATAAGTTTTGCCTTTTGCTCATGATAGATAGCCTCTATACCTTTTCTGAATCTTTCTCCCATCCCCATCCTTTTCAAATTTTCCATCAGAAAGCGCCAAGAGACATTATCGAATGCCTTCTCCGCATCGATAAATATCAAGGCCGCCTGTTTATCTATTCTAGTTTCCAGGTATTCAATAATATCTATCACATTTCTTACGTTATCCTTTAGTTGTCTTCCTGGTAGGAAGCCCGTTTGATCTTTATGAATTCTTTTTTTTAATACCCTTTTTAGTCTTTCTGCCATTATATCCGCAAACAGTTTATAATCGTTATTTAATAACGAAATCGGCCTATAGTTCTTCACCTCTAAGGCATCCACATCTTTTTAGGTATTAAAGTAATATATGCTTCCTTCCAGGTATTCGGAATCCTTCCCTCTTTTAAAATATTATTCATCACTTCACATAGAATTGGGCATAATTGCTCTCTTAATGTTTTATAGTACTTGGCTGGTAGGCCATCCGGCCCCAGCGCTTTCCCAATTTTCATCTTTTTTATTGCCTTCCTTATCTCATCTTCTGTAATCCTCTGGTCTAATAACTCTTTCTCTTCTATGGCATCTGTTGTAAATGGTGATCTTCCAGGTATCGGTCTATTTCATAATCTATTTCCTTTCCTCTTTTATACAATTCCTTATAATACGTCTGAAATATCCTTTTTATTTCTTTTGGCTCTTCCACTATCCTTTCCAATCAGAGCTATTTCCATGGTTGATTGCGGTGGATTGTGGCATTGGTGCAGCTGGCATCGTTCAATATGGAATGTATAGCTGAATGAACTTTCCTGAACCTGGTCCTAGTTCTTATCACAAATGTATCTTGTCAAGCATCAAGGAGACATCCTGAACAACTAATAGTTTGTGCAGAGGTCAGCACAAGTAATCTGGAAATTAGCAAAAATTAATCAATGCTCCTGTAGAAGATTGGATTAGAGTTAGACTGCAGTGAGATAACATTAAGGCATGAAGCAAAGATAACCTGTTGAGTCATTGCTCACCAGGACTATATGCTTTCAACTACTAATTAAGCAAACAGCCAGGGTTTTAATAGAGAGGAAACAATCAGAAGGAAAAAATATTGGAACTATAAGAATTGCTCGTCCCAAAGTCCACCTCTCCTCTCCACTTGGATGCATTGGCTAAAATGAGTATAAAAACCCTAGATTTTCAATGGCTGGTTATCTCTCCAAGTTCCGCCAAGGAATTTCACTGTACTCAACGCTCTCAAGGAATCAACACACACGGATATACCTTTCCTCCTCCCTTTCTCGCTTTGCTTTTCATGCGGGTTCTGTGGCAAAATTGTCAGACTCACTTTCTTTAGGCTTTTGGGAATAGTTAGGGATTCTTTTACTCTTTGGATCAATGTGTGTATGCAATGAATGATCTGCTGCCTGAAGCAGCATTTATATATTTCGTCTCTTCCATTTCATGCCATAAAACCAACCTTTCTTTATTGCTCCAGTGTGAGAACTTCTTGTGGGTGTAAGATTAAGGGTGAAAACCACTTCATAACAAACACATGTTATAACTCTAGCAAAAGGTCTTAAATCTCTTGGCAGTGTGTATAAGGAGACCCAAAGGTGGGGGGTTCAGACACAGACCTTGCAACACACTGTACCCCCCAGTGTAAAGTCTAGGCAGGGCCATAGCTATGGTCGGCAGAGGGGGAGAAGGTTTGCTCTTCCAGGGAATTCCAGGTCCCCCACCCTGAAGGTTCACCTGCCATTTAAGAAACCCCAAGAAAATCTCACACCCTTTCACTCATGGAAACAGAAACAGGGATTGAGAACACAGCTTTCCCGTGAGAAGGAAACTGGCCCCTGACTTCCATCGGTGAGCCTAAGTAGATGCAGAGAACTTGAGATGACGGACAAGCAATACAATACATAGGCTCCAAAGCTCCCCATTTATTTAATTAAGCCATCCCACCTTTCCTCTAAATTTTGTTGTTTAGTTGTGTCCGACTCTTTGTGACCCCCTGGACCAGAGCACGCCAGGCCCTCCTGTCTTCCACTGCCTCCCGCAGTTTGGTCAAACTCATGTTGGTAGCTTCGAGAACACTGTCCCACCATCTCGTCCTCTGTCGTCCCTTCTCCTTGTGCCCTCCATCTTTCCCAACATCAGGGTCTTTTCTAGGGAGTCTTCTCTTCTCATGAGGTGGCCAAAGTATTGGAGCCTCAGCTTCAGGATCTGTCCTTCCAGTGAGCGTTCAAGGCTGATTTCCTTAAGAATGGAGAGGTTTGATCTTCTTGCAGTCCATGGGACTCTCAAGAGTCTCCTCCAGCACCAGAATTCAAAAACATCAATTCTTCGGTGATCAGCCTTCTTTATGGTCCAGCTCTCACTTCCATACATCACTACTGGGAAAACCATAGCTTTAACTATACGGACCTTTGTCGGCAAGATGATGTCTCTGCTTTTTAAGATGCTGTCTAGGTTTGTCATTGCTTTTCTCCCAAGAAGCAGGCATCTTTTAATTTCGTGGCTGCTCTCGCCATCTGCAGTGATCATGGAGCCCAAGAAAGTAAAATCTCTCACTGCCTCCATTTCTTCCCCTTCTATCTGCCAGGAGGTGATGGGACCAATGGCCATGATCTTCGTTTTTTTTTATATTGAACTTCAGACCATATTTTGCGCTCTCCTCTTTCACCCTCATTAAAAGGTTCTTTCATTCCTCCTCACTTTCTGCCATCAAGGTGTGTCATCTGCATATCTGAGGTTGTTGATATTTTTTCCGGCAATCTTAATTCCGGCTTGGGATACACTACTACTACTGTGTAAAGGGGAGATTGCTGAAAATAAAACTTCAAGAATCCTTCCTGGGAATGAATACTATGGTGATGTTACACAGGTCTATCACCCACTGCAACTAATTCTGAGTCATTTCCAGGTCCGGTTCAGCACACTGTTAGGCAACTCTAACAACTCAACAAACTGCAGCATGTAGAAGCAGGAACCTGCATTTAACAAGGGTTGTTTAATATACTAAACCATGGAAGGTCTTGTTTTTCTCCAAAGCGCCTATGAGTTATTTAAATTGGGCTCGCACTGGTGGCTTGGTCCTGTCTCTGCAGGACACAGACCCACACACCAGCTTTGCTAGAATGAATCAGAGTCTCATTCGCGCTAATGCCTTTCTTTCTGACAGTTCAGATTGCTGTGCAAGGACAATTTTCAATGCATTATCGTTGCTTGAGTAACAATTGCTTGTTCCAAGCAAAAGAGCACACCTTGAACGTTGGAGAGCTTGGGAGCTTGCTGATATCTTTTCTTCTCTTTTGAAGCCATTAATTAACCTGCTAGTGATTTCTCCTGGATGTGTATGCCTGTCTTTAATTAAGATTGTGTCTGATCTGTTTATATTGCAGTTGGAGCAGAAGTGAGCTGAGGGGGAATGTTCTCTGTTGAACGGCACCTCCTGTGTCTCTTCCCCCTTCGGTGTCCTGCGTCATGTTTTGAGCATCGCTGCCTTGCATGTAAAATGCAGGTGGATATTGGATGGGCTTGCATCACAATAGCAAATTATGAGGATCTGGGAGAACTGTCGATGGCAGTGGTTTTCACCCTTTTTGAGTCTGCGGCTCCCTTAACCAAGCACAATTCTTCTCTCTTGTGGGAACCACTTACACTGGAAGATAAGGGGGTGCAGGTCAAAGCCACTGGCTTCCTGAATCTTCCTTCTAGAGAAATATAGATAATGCAGGAAATAAGGGCTTCAAGTTAGTGAAAGGAGGGCCCCCTGGCAGGGACGGAGGAAAGGGGTGGGGGGCGAGGGGCCCCGAGTGTCACCACTAAGGGGGTGACAAAATAGTGGGCAGCACTCACCACGGGGCCTGCAGCTTGCCTGAGCCACGTATCTCCCCTGGGATGCGGCTGAGTGGGAGGAGGCAGGCAGACTCCTCGGAGGCCCCACGGAGTGTCCTGCCCTGGCTGGCCCCGCCCCTGGGCGCAAGGCACGCGTGTCACCCCAGGCACCCGATCAGCTTGCTCTGCTGCTTCCCCCTGGGGTTTCACTGAATGTTGCTCAGGGTGCCACAGTGCACTGGTTGACAACCAATTGTCTATGGACTTCACGACTGCAAAGACGTAGTCATGACCGTTAGTCATGTTCATATTATTTCATTTATTGCATTCCTTTTTATTGCACCTCAGACGATACAAATGTTTGAGGAATAAAATCAGAACAGAAGAATAAAAAGGGGGTTTCAAAACATAAAAGCAGACTCTCCTTCTCCCTGTCCTGGGATCCTTCCCACGTGTATTCTACGGCTAGAGAACTGCATTGCCAAATCCATATACAGTGGTACCTCGGGTTAAGTACTTAATTCGTTCCGGAGGTTCATTCTTAACCTGAAACTGTTCTTAACCTGAAGCACCACTTTAGCTAATGGGGCCTCCTGCTGCCGCCGGAGGACGATTTCTGTTCTCATCCTGAAGCAAAGTTCTTAACCCGAGGTAATATTTCTGGGTTAGTGGATTCTGTAACCTGAAGCGTATGTAACCTGAAACGTCTGTAACCCGAGGTACCACTGTACTGAGACCCCCATCTTCCCAATGCACCAAACACAAGAAAGGCGGAAGCAAAGGAGGCTTTTGTTTTTGCAGCAGGGCTGAAATTTCTAGTGCCTTTAAGTTAAAAGAGCCCAGAAGCCGTGGCTGCCATTCATGTCCCTGCAGAGGTGACAGGAGTTCGCATGGTGTTTTGTTTGCTTCTTGGCATTTCTGCTGACAGCTCCAGGTGGGGGAATCCTGACTGTTTGCTTTGCGGTGTACGCAGAAGGGCGACCGGCCGGTGAACTGATAAGTGTGCCACGAACTTACTTGATCCCCCTACTTGCCGGATGGGAAGATGCCCTGGTGCCTTCTTCATCTGCCAGTTGGGCTAGTTTGATTGGTCTGGGGGTGCTTTCATTAGAGTTTCCAGGAACATGCCATGCTCTGAACATGTTCCTGGACATTTTATCAGGCCACTGTGTAGAACAGGGTCACCCAATGTTTAGCACCACTTTAGTTAATGGGGCCTCCTGCTGCTGCCGCGCCGCCGGAGCACGAGTTCTGTTCCCATCCTGAAGCAAAGTTCTTAACTCGAGGTACTATTTCTGGGTTAGCGGAGTCTGTAGCCTGAAGCGTATGTAACCTGAAGCGTATGTAACCCGAGGTACCACTGTAACTGAGAATTTTGAAAGACAGGTGCAGATTAGTTTGAGAAATGTGAATCTGGCAGGTTCCGATTAAAACATGAACTGATTTCTCCTCCATGCCTATTTAAGAGGTCCAGAAGCAATTTACAGCCATGAGCTTGTCTCTCTGTACACAACTAGCAAGTGTCTCCAGTTTTCTTCTGGGAACAACACCTGAGCAACACCTGAGGCTTCTGCACCCACTGAGGGGCTGAGATGCGACCAGGGTTCCCTCTTTCTCCTTTTGGGGAGCACCTCGTGGCACCATCTTCAGAAATATTGGTTTCTCCGGCACTACGAAGGCTTGCTTTCTCACCTCCAGGGGAATCTACAGCAGGGTGAGAAACCAAAGAAAGCAATTAGTTAATGAGTCAACCCAGCTTGACATTCAGACTCCTGACGGAAGCTCACAGGGAAGTATCAGCGCTTTGGTTTCGCTGGCTTTAATTAAAACATGTGGCTCAATCCTATCCATGCCTTGGGCAACAGCGCCAGACACTGACTTGCACATAGCACCTTCCTTTTGGGGGACTGATGTCTCTTGGGTGACAGAGGCAGGATGGGTGCCAGCCTAGTGTCAGATGTAGTCCCAGCTGCATTTCTAAAGGAAGGGAGTCCTGCATAGCAGGAGAAGATGGTGGACAACCCCTCCCTTTACACGCACATACAGAGGTGCGCCAGGCATCCAGCCTCCTCACCGGAGTTTCCTTGCAGACCCTGAAGGAGAAATGCTGCGCCAGGACTGCAATATAAATACTTTGCATTTATATAGAGTGATACCTTCAGGCATCAACCTCCATCTCACCTGTGATGTGCAGGTGCCAATTAATTAGTCCAGTTAATCTAATTAATTGTCCATTAGATCTTCCACAAGATCCACTGACACAACTGATGCGATTGATTTTTTGCAGAAATAATCTGAACCATAGACTTTGCCACTGACACCTCTCACTGTTAGGCATTATGCTTCAGCCACTCTGGCTATCAAGAGAATTGGATTATCCCCCAGTTTCAGACTGAATAGCCTCAACGGTGCTTGAACTGTACGACCCATATTCACCAGTGGAAGAGCTGAATATCTTATTCTTTTCAATACTTAATATCTTTTTCTTTTCTTTTACCTCCTTGAGCTTCCCACTGGTGAAGGTTGGAGGCTGGAGAGGGAACATTGTTCGTACTTTGCCTTCAAGATGTGTTGGCCTCCAAGATCCCATCTAAACCTATATCCGAGAGAAGACAAAAGCAGTTTCAAACCAATGAGTGGCATAGTCAGGTTCTGAACCCACGACAGATCTGGAACCAATAATATCCAACAGGCAATTGTAAATGGAATAAACATGGAGTGCAGTGATGACTGGGTCACTAAGTTCATGCTTGACTTTTAGAGAGGAGTTAATCTGCCCTCCCCATTACCCCACCCTGCCCCAGTTTGGTGCCAATGGAGTGACATGTAGAAACTCTCCTCCTTTCGTTATACTATTGTATAGTTAAGAAGTTGGTGAACGTGGTGGAGAACTCTTTCACAAGGACGGCTTTTATGATAGCCAGATCCAGCATAGCTAATATAGGCTTTCAGCCCTTGTAAATCCTGGATTAAGAGTAAGGAAGAAGAGGCACATTCTAGTGAATCAAAAACAAGTGAGCTACAGGTAGCCTTCACCTGGTGCCTTCAAGATGTGTTGGCCTCCATCTCCCATCAACCCATGGCGACAGGCACTGATGGGAGCTGTAGTCCAAAGCCTCTCCATCGTGCCTGACTGGTGAAGGTTGGCTGAGGGAGTCTGCCATCCTCCATCATTTTATAAGCCAAGGGAACAACACCTTTTGCTAGTCAAAACTAACTAGAAAAACACATCCCAGAAGGAGGGTTGCCCTGTTACTCTGCTGAAGCAAAGAAAAAAGTCAATGCAAGAGGCTTCCGGCACAGCATGATACTGCCTGAGAGCTCCTGTGGAAGCATTTGCATGCATGAGCAAGGAAGACCCACCAGCTCAGAGCCTTAAGCTTCAATCTGACACATGCTTGCCTGGGAGTGTGACCTCTCTGTCCCCTTTTTGACAATATTGGCTCATAGTCTTCTTTCTGCTCAGAAACTCTGTCTTCCCTTTGATTTTAGGCAATAAGCTATCGGAGGCCACTACAAGGCAGGGTCTTATCTCTGCATGTTTTTTGCCTTCCTTTCCTAGCAATGGCATTAGCAATGAGCAAGTTTGGCACAGAGACCCTCATAACTGACACCTTAGATAATGCTTATTATGCCAACTGTAACATTAGCCAGAACCTAACAGATGAGAAAGGCATTTAAACTAATAATAATAATAATAATAATAATAATAATAATAATAAACTAATAATAATAATTTATTACTTATACCTCGCCCATCTGACCAGGTTTCCCCAGCCATTCTGTGGCTTCCAAGAGGAGATTAAAAATACATTAAAGCAGCAATCATTAAAAACTTCCCTAAACAGGACTGCCTTCAGATGTCTTCTAAAAGTCAGATAGTTGCTTATTTCCTTGACATCTGATGGGAGGGCGTTCCACAGGGCGGGTGCCACTACTGAGAAGGCCCTCTGCCTGGTTCCTGTAACCTCACTTCTCACAATGAGGGAACCGCCAGAAGACCCTTGGAGCTGGACCTCAGTGTCAGGGCAGAATGATGGGGGGTGGAGATGCTCCTTCAGGTATACTGGGCTGAGGCCGTTTAGGGCTTTCAAGGTCAGCACCAACCCTTTGAATTGTGCTCAGAAATGTACTGGGAGCCAATGTAGGTCTTTCAAGACCGGTGTTTTGTGGTGTCAGCAGCCGCTGAGACAACTTCATGTTTGGAACCTCCAACTGAAAGTTCACTTGAAGGGCCCACAAGCTGTTCCTTGGCTTAGAGAGCCAACAATATTGTTAGAAAGGATTGCGCACACCACAAGCATGTATGAAAAATACTATAAAGGTGTCGTGAATTTTTCATGCTCCACCCAGCTTTTGGAAACATCCACCGAGCCATTCTTGCTGCAGCCTGAACAAAGCTGTATTCTTTCCATATGCTCTGGCATAATGAGACCCCTCCGAAGGGTAACAGGAGTGAAACCCATTTAACTTAACGGGGCTTACCTCTGAGTAGACATGCAACCTGGCAAACTGAAGGAGCTATATTCTTTAGAATGCCTATGCTAAATAAGCCCACAAGATAAAAGGCAGAAAACTACAGCCAAGTACCGGAATGTTTTTGAGATTCCAAAGCGATCCAGTTGCATATTAAGTATTTTTCCACCCCAGAACATTTCCTTCTTCGGGTCAAACAATGAGATTTGGGCTAACCTGAGAAATACAAACTGTTCATAAAAGGTCACTTACCCTCAGGTCCTGCCATGTTTCTGAAAGCACTTGATATCAAATAACCATCATACTGTTGTAAGAAACATTTAAGAAAGTTAAGTACGACCTTTCTGGGCTGGATTTTGGCCACTTTTCAGGAGCACCTCTGATCCCAAGGGGGGGGGGCAGTGTTACCATATTTAAGGAGGGGTGCCTTTCAGAGCCTAACCCCCCCTTTAAGGGATTCAGAGTCCCCCCATTTGTTAGCGGTCAGAGATGAATAAGTGGAGGCAAGTTCCAGTGAAATCAAAGCTGATCTTTATTATTCTGTTGATAATAGCAATAATTTTATTATTTAAATCCTGCCCATCTAGCTGGGTTTCCCGAGCTACTCTGGGCGGCTTATAGTACATATAGAAACGTAGTAAAACCTTAAAAATTAAAAGCCTCCCAATTCAGAGCTGCCTTCGGATGTTTTCTAAAAGTCAGACAGTTGTTTATTTCCTTGACATCTGAAGGGAGGGTGTCCCACAGGGAGGGCGCCACCACCGAGAAGGCCCTCTGCCTGGTTCCCTGTAACTTCACTTCTTGCAGTGAGGGAACTGCCAGAAGACCCTCGGAGCTGGACCTCAGTGTCTGGGCTGAACGATGGGGGTGGAGATGCTCCTTCGGGTATCCTGGGCTGAGACTGAAGTTGTATAGGGCTTTGAAGGCCAGCAGCAACCCTTTGAATTGTGTTTGGAAATGTCCTGAGAGCCAGTATGGTATAGTGGTTAAGAGTGGTAGACTCGTAATCTGGGGAACCGGGTTCGCGTCTCCGCTCTTCCCCATGCAGCTGCTGGGTGACCTTGGGCTAGTCACACTTCTTTGAAGTCTCTCAGCCCCACTCACCTCACAGAGTGTTTGTTGTGGGGGAGGAAGGGAATGGAGAATGTTAGCCGCTTTGAGACTCCTTTGGGTAGTGGTAAAGCGGGGTATCAAATCCAAACTACTACTACTACTACTACTACTACTACTACTACTACTACTCTTCTTCTTCTTCTTCTTCTTCTTCTTCTTCTTCTTCTTCTTCTTCCTCTTCCTCTTCCTCTTCCTCTTCTTCTTCTTTATATGGTGTTATATGGTCCCGGCGGCCGCTCCCAGTCACCAGTCTAGCTGCCACATTCTGGATTAGCTGTTGTTTCAGAGTCACCTATTACAAGTTCCCCGCCTCCTTCATAAGAGGCAAAGACTCAACGCAAGGTGTACAAAGACTATTTAAAGACTTTTGAAAATTGCCCAACCGCCCAAAAATATCACAGAAAGAGGTGGTCTACAGACAGAAATTTTAGTGTGTGTCTTGACAGGATACTGGATAATGGTCGCAGTTTGCATTATTTGAGCCAGTATGGGAATATCCCTTTGTCATTGCAATTTTTCTAGAAAAAGAGGTGCCGGAACTCACTATGAACACCTCCCTCCTTCTTTTAGAATGGCAATGGCACCCACCAGAGAGGTGCTGGAACTGAGTTCCTGTGAGTTCCCTCTGAAAAAAATCCCTGCCCTTTGTCATGATAAATACTTTCTTCCCTGGATCCCTTTGGCAAAATTACCCCTACTGATACACAGAAGATGCTCTATCGACAGTCTGCTCAGCTTGACAGATACTTGCCAGACTGGTTTCGCAGGGAGGAGTAAGGCCCTAGGAGAGAATTTTCACACATGCCCTACATAAACTGATCAGGACCTCAATGCATGGAGAGAAGGAATTAATCATATTTAATTGCTTTGTGTACACCGCTTGAGAGTTGTTTTTTCATTATGCAGAATGCAAATCCTTCTCAGCAAATAAATAAAGTAGTAAAGTGATCTGCAATGAACAAAGTCATGCAATGTCTTAAGATAAAGAACACGCAGAAGTGCAGCTGAAATCCCCTCATTCAGGTATTCATAACTGCTGAACTTTAGCCTGTCCTTCTCCCCGACGTGCATCATTCAACGGAGGAGTCTTTCTCTCTGGAGAAGACCCAGCCCAGTGGTGCAGCCCAGAATCCCACTGCCTTATTCTGCAATTAAAGTTGCCAGAAAACAAGGCAGGGATTTGTCTGCCCCGCCTCACTAAGCTTTCAATAGGGGGATGGTGTGGGCAGAAAGCAATTGGCCTGCACAGCTCCTTCTGGCGGGACCTCAGTGAAATCACCCACCGATTGCTAGAGATCAACTTGCTGCACGCCCTGCTCTGCATTTATAATAAAGAGAGGCTCCAAAGTCCTCCTGCTGATTTCTCCCAGTTCATTGCTTCCCTGTTCTCTTTATCTTGAGCAAACACCCTTGTTTTTTTGCTGTACTTCATAATAATAATTAAAAAATCATTATTTATTTTTATGCTTTCAGTGTGTGTTGAGTTACATAAAGAGAAGATGAAAATGGCAAACTAAATTTCAGTGGGTGTACTCTGAGTGAAAGTTAGTTGAATACAACACATGGAGCCCAACATTATTCTTTTTTCACAGGCCTAGGTAGCGAAAGGTCACACAACCTTCTCCCCCCCCCCCATAAGGGGTATGTCTATAATGTTATTTACGTGGTTGTGTCCACAAAGGTGGTCCAGAGACTTCCATCAGTTCAGTTATGGTCAGTGGGAGTTTGCTCAAGGCCAAGTGGTTAAACCACATGATCATAGAATCATAGAATCTTAGAGTTAGAAAGGACCCAAGGGTTATCCAGTCCAACCTCCTGCAAATCAGGAATCTCAGTGAGATCATACACGACAGATGGCCACCCAACCTCTCCTTAAAAACCTCCAAGGAAGGAGATTCCACAACCTCCTGAGGGAGACCATTCCACTGTCAAACAGCTCTTACTGTCAGAAAGTTTTCCCTGATGTTTAGCTGGAATCTACTTTCTTATAACTTGAAGCCATTGCTTCAAGTCCTACCCTCCAGAGCAGGAGAAAACAAACTGGCTCCCTCTTCCATGTGACAGTCCTTGAGATATTTGAAGATGGCTTCCATATCTCCTCTCAGTCTCCTCTTTTCCAGGCTAAACATGCCCAGGTC